TTCTTATAAATGCTCACTTGCATTTCATCAGCTCCTCTGGAGTAATCTCAGGGTCGCGTTTTGCTTAGGTTGTTAAATGTGCTGGAGGAAATGTAGTCACAACAAGTGGGAAAAGAGAATTGTGTGAAAAGGCATTGAGGAAACCTAGTGAGATACCGAGAATCAGCTGAAGAGGTGGAGGGCACTCTGTGAGAAAGGGATGGGAACCTTCACTACTGCTTCTGAGACTCAGGTGTAGTAGTGGAGTGTGCTGAGAGGGCAAGAGTTGCTGCTGATGTGCAGGACCAGCTTGTGGAAACCCCCTGAACAGAGCCTGGGCAAGGTGACAGGGCCTGGAGTGCCAGCAAGGGCAGAGAGTGTGGCAGCAGGTCCAGGGAGGTGATTCTGCCCCTCTGCTCTGCTCTGCTGAGACCCACCTGGAATACTGCACACAGTTGTGGTGCCCCTCAATGTGAGAAGGACATGGAACTGTTGGGGCAAGTCCAGAGGAGGCCACAAAGTTGCTAAGAGGATTGGAGCATCTCCCCTGTGAGGACAGGCTGAGGGAGTTGGGACTGTTGAGCCTGGAGAAGAGAAGGTTGTGTGGAAACCTCAGAGCACGTTCCAGGATCTGAAGGGGCTCCAGGGAAGCTGCAGAGGGATCTGTGTTAGGAGCTGCAGTGACAGGACAAGGAGTAACAGACTGAAATTGAGGGAGGGGAAATTTAAGTCAGATATTAGGCAGAAGTTTTTGCTGTAAGGGTGGTGAGACACTGGCCCAGGCTGCCCAGGGAGGCTGTGGCTGCCCCAACCCTGGCAGTGTTCACAGCCAGGCTGGATGAGCCTTGAGCAACCTGCTCTGGTGGGAGGTGTCTCTGCCCAGGGAAGGGTTTGGGGCTGGGTGAGCTCTAAGGTCCATCCTAACCCCTAAAATTCTATGAGTCCTTGAACCTGCAGACAGAGAAGCAGCAACACACTCCCCCGAGGCCCAGGCAAGGTGCTGCCAGCAAGAGCAGCTCTGGCTCCCAAGGAGCACAGCCAGGACAGCTACACATGTGGCCAAGTGACCACTGAGGTGAAAAAAATTCTGTTGGAACTTCATTTTCCAAGAGGACAGACTGGCAGAGGTAAAAAGCTCAGCTGCTCTTTATTCATGCAGACAGCTCAGGATCACGGCCCTAGAACAGCACTGAGGCAAACCCTGTCTGTCTGCAGGACCAGCATCCAGGGCTGGTGGGGAAAGAGCCTCCCAGGGGAGACGCCAGGGGAATTTCACATCGGAGCAGAAGGAGAAGGTGAATTGCCTGAGGCTGTCAGCTAATGGCCAAGGCAGGGCTGGACGTGAGTTAATGAGCTGCTGGGTTAATTACCACTCTCACTCACCTTTCCTGGAGGGACATGGGTTAAGTACAGTGCCAGGGTGCAAGTTTCCACCTCACTTATTTGCTTGTAGAGTTCATCTCAATAAGCCACTTGCCTCAGTCATCCTGGAGATTCAAAGACATCTCCAGCCATTTGGGCAGCATTCCCTGTGCTTCCCAGCAGGAAGGGCCAAGCCAGGGTAACTGGCTGTCCCCACACGTGGTGGATAGGGCTGGGGTGGGCAGGTCTCCCCCCACTACTGGCACTGGTTTTGTTCACCAGAGCAGAACCAATCTGAGAGACCTGCTGCAGGTACAACAAGGCTCTTTAAACAGAGCCTGTGTGAGGTACTGGCAAATGCCAACCAGCTCTTTAAAAGCTCTTCTCTACCAGGTCTGGGCTGCTCTGATGACAAACATAGTGCTCCCTCTGGGCAAGTCTCAGCACAGTGCAGGAGATACAGACAAAAATTGAGCAATCAGTGCAATCTTGCACCACATAGAAGTATTTCTGTCTGTATCCCTACAGCTCCAGCGGTGGTAAAGGTTATTAACGATGCTCTGGAACTGCTATACACCAGCTAAAACAATGCCTAGCTCCCAGTGAAAAGCATAGCTGCAGTTTTTGGTGCTGCAGTAGCACCTAGAGGACAGTCACCGACTCACTGTGTGAGCTGCTGTAGAGCAGAAATGAATGGAAACTCCTCTCTGCTGATTACTTGAGCTGTCCACGAGGCAATGACACAGGAGATCTCTTGTTGCTGCTTCCCCGGGCACTGGAAGACTGCGGTGGGGGCAAGCTGGCCAGGGGACAGCCACCCAGGCCACCTTCCTCCTGTCAGCAGAGTCACACTCCCCTGGGCCCCAAACAAACCACTGCCAAAGGAGAACACCCTCCAAACACAGCCCCTGGTCCAGCCACTGCTCCCTGGGCTGGTGAAGCTCCATTTCCCACCACTCTGCCCCACCACTCACATCTTACCACAGGCTTTATACGGGAAAGACCCCAAGGATTTCAGATGTTAGAATTTATCTCTGAATTTATGGTAGCAATTTAAAATATTCAGTTGGACTTAACTGCAACATCCTTTTAGCCTATTAACTTTTATTTCTGGAGCTCCTGGGGCTTCTACAAAGTAATTAGCAGAACTATGGCAACTGAGCAGATTGGTTTATGTGCTGGGCACATAACATTTATACCCCTCTCATGTTCCTGATTTCCAGAGGAGGAGAAAAGGGAAAGTTGCTCGTAGAAACTGTGAGAGTTTCATCATTCAGAAATTAAAATGCACAGAGCATTGGAGAGTTGCTAGAGCACAATTAGCTCACAGATGCCAGTTTTCTAAACCCTTCTACCTCCTGCACAGCCCTTTAAGCTACAAAGATCAGGAAGATTCCTCTAGCAACTGCAGCCTCAACAGTGACTGCAGCCCAGGGCGTGTGGGTCAGAGACACTCTCTGCCCCGTGAGGTCCTTCAGTAAGATTTGGAGGACCTGGGGGAAAGGATTGTGAGCCTGGAAGAGGCTACAAAACCTGGGAGGGCCTTTGTAAGCAGTGTCTGTCTGGAGACAGTGATTCCACTCCCTGCCAATCACTGCTGGAGACTGTGTTGGGCTCTGAAGGCTCAGCTGGTGTTCTGCTGGAAAAGCAGAGAACAAAAACAGGCTTTGAACTGGCACAGACCATCCCATAAAGCAGCACTTACACAAAGTCAGTTCCTCTTCAGCTGTGCATAAAGCACTATCAGTAACATCTCAGGCAGCCCAAAGGTGCCCCAATTCAGTCTGAAGCAGCAGGCTGTGTCTGCAGGCACAAACGAGGCACTGAGCTGCCCTCCCCAGAGTGAGCTCCTCTGCAGCTTGGCAGCTCAGGCTGGAGGTACAGACCAGCCCCAAGGGCACCTGTTGGCCCTGGGACCTGGCCAGAGCACCTGGGTGTGCTCTCCAGACAACACAGGCTCTGACAACTTCCTCACACCGGTGGGATTTTGGGAGAGCCCATGCCATCTCCCAGCAGGAGCAGGACTGTGCTGCTTCAGGGAGTGCTGCTTGCTACTTTTGCTCTGACATGGCAAGAAAACCTAAACTCCAGGGTAACTCCAGTCATGAACATGGGGAGAGGGAGAGGGAGAGGGAGAGGGAGAGGGAGAGGAGCCCTGGCTCCAGCAGCTCACAACACCTGGCTCAGGCAGCTCACAACACATGTTCCTGCCCCGTGCAGGGCTGGCAGCTAGGGCAGGTGGGAGCAAACACATCAGTGCTAACCTCCAATTATTCTTTCCAGACCCTGAGGAGACATGTCCTGCATTCACAGCCCTTGGCTTCGGCAATGCCTTGATAGGGACAGACCTGAAAGTGAAGCTGCTGCTGCACACCCGGCAGAACCCAAGCTGTGCTGAGGAGATCCACTCCACAGCCTCCAAGTACCTGGACGTGACCAAGAAAATGACCTTCATCATCCACGGGTACAGACTCACAGGCTCTGCCCCAGTCTGGATCCATGACCTGGTCCATCTCCTCCTTTCTGTGGAGGACATGAACGTCATCATCGTGGACTGGAACCAGGGGGCAACAACTCTCATCTACAGCTATGCCTCCAGCAAGTGCAAGAGAGTTGCTGAGATTCTGAAGAAACTTATAGACGAAATGTTGGTAAGTTGGACGTTCATACAACGATACAATCATTAAGGCACAGTATGCAAAGGGCACAAAGGAAGTGTTCCAACCCAGCAGGATGTCTGGGAATAGAAACTCCGAAAAAGGAATACATTAATTTTTGGAAGTGCAGCTACATCACAGTGCCAAATCCTCCCCTCAGGCTCAGTACGATGGCATTTCATTGCCATGTTCAGCTTGCACTCTAAGTCTCTACATTTCTGGGCACAAAACTCTACAGACATCTTCCCATGCACAGAAACTCTATTTCCACTTTCTGCACAGGCAAAAGTCAGTTTAAGGGGATCAGCTACAGGTCACAGCTCCTCTGAGCTGCTGCACAGGCACAGGAACGATGACACTGGATCATGAGGACTGTGGTGTCTGCTAAATCCTGCAGGAACCACACATGGAGCAACTAGAATTTTACTCCTGGAGCCCACAAATTGTTCCTGTCCACACTCACAGTCAGTGCCCCAGGAAAATCCAACCACTGCCTGAACTGTTCTCCTCTCAGCTCTGTCAGGCATGGCCTCAAACAGCAGTGCTGGCTGCATGGCAGGACTGGCAAAGGGGGAATATTTACACAGTGGAACACACCAAGGGTAAACAGGGGAAAAGTAGGGAGATGCACTTATATTCCTCCTCCTGATACCTTTTATGCCTTTCACGTGCCTAAAATAGGTAACCACAAGTACTTTTAAATCCCAGATTGCTGGAGCATCCCTGGACTCCATGCACATGATAGGGGTGAGCCTGGGAGCACACATCTCCGGCTTTGTGGGGCAGATGTTCGGTGGTGCGCTGGGAAGAATCACAGGTAAGCCTCCCCCAGCAGCCCCTTTGTCCCCTCCAGGACAGCAGGGCTGGAGAGCATGGCACACTCGTGGCTCTGTATTTCAGGCCTTGACCCAGCAGGGCCTCTGTACCGGGGAACCCCTCCCAGCGAGCGGCTGGACCCCTCGGACGCGCAGTTCGTTGATGTCATTCACTCCGACACCGATGGTACGTGGCATTGCCCTTCCTTCACAGGGAAGCCTAGAGGCTGATGGAGCACAGGGAAGGGGGGCTGCTGGTGGGATCCGTGCTCTTTCGGCCCAGAAGGACAGTGGTTCCCTCTCCCAGGAAGGACTCTGGGGTGCTGCGATGCCCACACTGTGCTCAGCACTCCCTCGGGAGCTGCTGGTTCATTCTCATTTCCAAACATGCTGATGGGTTGCAGCAGTTATAACCTCATGGCCCATGAATTACAAGGACTCAGGCACTGGTGGAGGAGCTCCTGCAGCTCCACACTAACATCCCACCACATGGTCAGGCTGCACCTGAGCACACAGCACCTCCGGAGCTTCTCCCACAGCTCAGCAGCTCAGCTATCCCCAACCCACGGCTCCCTGCATGATGCTTCCAGCCTCCATCCCACCTCCCACGAGCTAAACCTTCCTCTCCCCCAGCCCTCTCCTTTCCTGGACCCAGCAGCAATACCAGCAGTGCAATGCCAGTCCCTGCTCTGCTCCCTCAGGCACTTGGCTTTCCCACCTCATTGATGCCTCTCTTTTCCCAGCCCCTCTAAGAAGTCAGACTTAGCAGCACAGCAATACCCAGAGTTCACATCCCTTTTCCTCTCCTGTACAGTGAGACAAACCCACAAATTTCATACTGCTGCACACACAGACCTATTTTAGGTCTTTGCTAAACACCACAGCTGGGTCACAGCCCTTGTCCTGCTGCCTAATCAGAGGCATGGCAGTAATATCCCTGCACAACCAGGCATAAATAACAGCTGTTTCTCCAGTCAGGTTCTTATGTTTCCTCCAGGTGCACTGGATGATGGAATATTCCCTCCCCTGACCTCTGGCACTTCCTTTTGTCAGGACTAGGTTACGGGGAAGCTCTGGGCCACATCGACTTCTACCCCAACGGAGGGACTCACCAGCCAGGCTGCCCACTGACCATATTTTCAGGTAATTAGTTCTGCCCTGAATTGCACAAATCCCAACAAAATGTTTCCAAACAGAAGAGGAGGAAGCCAGAGGAATGACACCACTGCTTGGGAAATGCATGAAGCTGTGGGAAAGCCACGGCAGCAGCCCCTTCCCTGCTCCAGGCAGGTGTGAGTCAGGTGTCTTTTCTGTGCCTCTGTCACTGTGCAAAAAGTCATCAGGTAGGTCTGTGCCTTTGTTTTGTGACTATGTTGAAAAAGGCTGTGGGAGTTGTTGTGTTTCATTACACAGAACACACAACAGCCTCAGGACTAGCAGTGGCAAGAACTTGTTTGGAGAAACAGGTTCAATATGAACATGGGGTAGACAGTTATACCAAATCTTGCAGCATCCTTGGCAGTGCCAGTGTAGTCTGCAAGGCAGAGCCTTAGTCCTGAATGCAAGAAAGCTTTTCCCTTCCAGCCTAGCAACTGAATTGCATTGATGAAAGCTGGGTGAAGGTGGCACCTCACCGGATTGTGAGCTCAACCCTTAGCAGACCCAAGAAAATCTATACAGGAAACCAGCCTCAAACAAAAATCCCTGGAGAATGGGGCTTCACCCGTTCTCCTGCTCATGCAACAACTGGTTCTATTAGTTATCTCTTTCTAAAGAGCTTTTCACACCAAGATGGAAGGTCATGTGCAAAACTAACAGCAATATGCAGCTGTCAGGCCTGAGCTTAGAGAGGGAAACACCTGAGATGGAACTTGGGCCATAGCTGGATCCTCTGGAACTGCAGTAATCATACAAATATGGTTTTTAAACTAAAACAGGCAAGAAGAAAAGCCAAGCAGACACAGGCAGAGCTGAGTGCACTCAAAGGGGGAGGCTCCAAGGTGCCCAGTGCTGCCCAGTGCAGCCTGCTGGGTCCAGCCTGGTCAGTGACAGGCCACTGGTGTGTCCTGGGGGCATCAATCCTGTTTCCCTGCTGCATGAGGATTGCTAATGAGACATTTCTTCCCTGTGTATGCTCAAGGACTGCAGTATTTCAAGTGTGACCACCAGAGGTCTGTGTTCCTGTTCCTGTCCTCCCTGACACAGAGCTGCAACATCACTGCCTACCCCTGCGACTCGTACAGGAGCTACAGGCACGGCAAATGCACCAGTTGTGAAACCTTCTGGCCTATGCCATGCCCCATCCTAGGTAAGGGCCCGGGGAACCTCAGCCCATCCTGCACCCAGAGCTGCACACCCTCGCTGTGACCTGGGGTGTGATGTTTGCCAAGGGACTAACACAACACAGCAATTTGCAGAAGCAGGTAAGGTATTTCCACCAAGCTTTTTGGGGTCTCTCCTCAAGCTCTGCAGAGGCACAAGGCTGCTGCAGGCAGAGAGGCCTGAGGAACCTCCCTGCTTTTTATACACTCAGATCACACTGTGACCCAGAGCAGCAATCCAGAACCAGAAAAGAGAGAACAAGACTTGGGATCTTTACACTAAACTCACAGAAACAATGAATCAAAGTCCTTTAGCTACAGAGCTTAAGGGAGAGGGGAATGTTCTCGCCAAAACAGAAGCTTTTCCAGTACATTCTCAGCACCACAACCTGCTCTGTACTCTAAAGGAATGGCAGAAGGGTGAACACAGGGCACTGTGGACCCACAGAGGTGTCCCAGCCCTGAAATGTTGCTGCTGAAACACCTGACACTTCCAGAAAGGAACTTGAAAAGCCAAGGGGATGATTTTCATTCTGCACTGCAAAATCAAATCCTTCCTGACCATGGACATCAGCTGTGGGAAAAGCTCAGCCTTAAAGAAAAGTGCTGAGCAGTACAACCAGATGTATTTCTCATAGGCCTGCAGAGCACAGCAGCATGTCACAGTGTACCTGGCAAGTCCTTAAACACTTGCTTATCTCTAGCCACGGAGCTGCTTACATACCTGTGCAGTAACTGCTCCTTCCCAAACTGCCACCTGCAGGTTATCATGCCCAGGAGTGGAAGAGCTATTTAATACAGCAGAGCCATCCAGTGACAAGTGTGTTCTTCGACACAGCAGACAAAGAGCCATTTTGCAGTAAGTGACTGAGATTTCCGAGGTGATTTCTCTTTGTGCGTTGCCTCCCTCAGCAGCAGCTGAGCAGAGATGGTTATTTGCTAATGGCATCATAGCCAGCATTTAGAAACACCAGTGGCTGCTGGAGAGACTGTGTCCACCTGCAGTTTGCCATGGCATTCCCTCTCCACACAGCTGTGTGGGGCTGTGAAAGCCAAACACCCATTGAGATGTGTGAGAACAGCTCACCTTGCTTACAGTGCTGGGAAATGGGCTGAGAATGTGCAAACTAAACACAGACGGTAGCTCCCAAATGGAGTTTCAAAACAGCACACCAAGTCAGAGAGTCAAAGACAGGCTCTGAGGGGAACGGGTGACAAAGTGTGACTCTGGACAACAGGGAGAGGTGCAGGGGAAAGGGGAGAAACAGTGGAATGAAAGGTCTCACAGAGGTTTCTCCTCACCCTACAGCACAGCAAGGCATGGGCAGGGGTTACGGCCAGAGCTCCAGTGCTGGTCAGCAAGTGACTCACAGACCAAAGAACTTGCTCCGTGTCAGAGATGACAAATGACAGGAGGAACAGAAATGGAGAGGAGACAGAAAAGGCAGTGAAGGGGGAAGGCAGGGAGTGAAAGTGGCATTGCTGCAGTGCTTCCCTGACACCTCTTAGCACTTCTGTTAGGTCTCTGCAAAGGGAGATGGAGAGCAGGGAGGAGAAAGGGATTTTAGAGGTAAATTGAAGGGGCTGTGTTCATCCTCCCCCCGCAGCTCCACTCCCAGGCAGGCACACGGGCTGACCCTCCACTCTCTTCCCTCAGTTTATCACTACTTTGTGGACATAATCACATGGAACAAAGCCACCAGGAGAGGCACCTTCAGCATCGTTCTAGCTGATGAGACTGGGAGGAAGGCAGAATCTAGAGCCAATCCGTAAGTCTTACTGATCTGATGATCTCTAAGTGTTAGCAAATTGCTAACAACAATCTGGGAGGAGATGACACATCCAGTTCTCTGCTGACACTTGCTGGTGCACATGCCTGTGGGATTTCCGGGCCCTGTGGGATATCCACAACCTCCCCCAGCACACACCTTTGGTCTGGGCTCTTCCCAGTCATCTTAAGGACTGGGCAACCTCAGCCAGCAGCATTGCTGTCCCAGGTTTCCCCTAAAACAGGAGGAAAAACACATCTCCTCTCTTTCCTTCCCCTTCAGGTAGTGTTCTGTCCCAGCCTCCAGTGCCCAAGACAGCTGGGATGAACCCGAGTCTGAATGTGTCACATCCAAATCAATTTATTCCACTCAGAGAGGCAAATTCATGACTGGTGTTTATGTGACATGCAAGTTCCTGACTGATCTAAACACACTTCAGCCAAACAGTCCTGCTCAACTCATTTTCCCAAGTATTTCTAACTGCATATTCCCTCAGCCCTATCTGGTACCTGCTCGCCCTGGAGCAATCTGCATTGCTCCCCGGGGCTGTGCAGGACCACCTGCCCTGCCAGCAGGAACAAACATCCCTTGGAATCAAAGCACAATCACGAAGTGGGTTCTGGTTTGGGACCAACCAGCCCCAGACCTGTGTGTCCCCACTCCCACCCCAAATACCTGAGTGCAGATTCACACCTGGAGACCTGAATCCATACCCTGTTCCTGTAAAACAGGGACTACCCTGGGCCCTGCCCTCCTCCCCCAGCTCTGCCTCTGGTGTCACACTGAACACCAAACCCAGCACTGTCCCTCAGAGACTGACACCTCGGCTGCTTTGTCCTTAGAGAAGCTGCTGCCTTCCAGCAGTACAACCAAACCACTTTGCTCCTTGGATTCGACCAGGATTTTGAAAACGTGGAAAGAATTTCCCTGACGTTTTCCACAGGATCTGTCATCGGCCCAAAGTTCAAACTGAGGATTCTCCAGATGAGGTTCAGGTCGCTCACAGACCCGGAGAGGTAAGCAGAGCTTTACAAACCAACCAGTTCTATTGTTGCAGTCTGGACAGGAGTAAAGGAATCTTCCAGGTTCTTGGCCTGGCTGGCTCTGTCCAGAATTGGATCTATTTCATGTTTTATGATTCTCATACACATATCTTGGGTCTTCCTTTGGTCAAAAAAATGACCTCTGAGGAGCTGCCTGAACTCTGGGCTGAAGGGAAATGCAGCTCTCAGGGGAACGCAGACATCCAGCTCCAAACACGTTTTATATCCCAGTCAATTTCTATGGCCAGTCAAGCAGGGAGATTAATTTCCTCCTGGAATTCCAGCTGCTGGCTGCTCTGCCCCAAGCCCTGACAGCTGCCCTATCATGAGGTACCTCCCAGGTCACTGCTGATGAAATTTCTACAGCTGCTTCAGTCACCTTGTTAACCTCTGTCTGCCCTTGAGCTTCCCTGATGCCTAGGCACCCCTGGAGGGTGGGACCACTGAGCCCAGCACACACAGAATCTCCTAGACTGACCTCGTGTTGCAGGGACACTCTGTGGATATCAGCTAGACCATGCTTTAAATTTGGGTTAAAACAAGGGTTGCATATCCCAGAGTGAGAAGGGTGAAGCAAAAATTGCTGCAGAACATGTTTATTTGCAGTTTGTGAGATCTGCTACCCTTACCCTAGGCTTGGGATAAGGAAAAGGTTGTGTGTGTCCACTAGGCAAATTCCTGCAGCTCTCCCTTGCTTGAGACTCCATTTCTCCTGTCCTACACCTCCACGGTCACTTCCAGCCCTGGACACACCTCCAGGGGCTGCCACAGGCTGTGAGTACAGCTCATGGCTGTTTTACCACATGAAGTAATCTCTTATTGCCTCGGGGAGGGATGTCCTGCTCTCTCCTCCTCCATCCCCGGGCTAATGCTCACATGCCCCAGGTGGAAGCTTAAGCATTTCCTTGGGATTTTTTGGCTGGACTAGCTCCAGGCCGGATCAGTGCCTGGTCCCAGCTCAGAATGGCAGCAGAATTCCTGATGCCAAGCCCAGGGAAGCTGCAGGACCAGGCAGGTGAGCTGGAAGGACCATCCTGTTGGTGCAATCACAAATGCTGGACTGGCTCAAAGGGAGCCATGGACTTTGCAGTCAACACCTGTTTGCTTGATGGTTTTTGTGTTCTATTATTCCACAAGCAAAAGGTAACATGGAATAGAATAGGGAAAAAGCTCAAGGTATCCCTTTGACAAGGCTTAAAGCCAGCCTCATGTTAGGAGGAACTTCCAGCCTGTTCCCCGGAGAACACAAGTTACACAGACACCTGGGGAGACTCTGCTGAGGTTTTCACTCTGGGCTCGTGTTGCCTGTTCTCACAGACCTCACCTGTGCCGATACGACCTCATCCTGACAGAGAACATGCAGCAAACCTTCACGCCCATCCCGTGCTGACGGTGGAGCCAAGCCCCGCACCCCCTGGCACTCCGCACGGCTCCGCGCGGGGCAGAGCCGCAATAAAGCTGTGCCCGTGCCAGGGCTTCAACCGGGGCGTGCAGATCGTGTCTGCGTGGGCCTGGCGGGAGCGACACGGCCCGACCCGCGGGGACCGAGCCCCGCACCGCCCGGGGGGACGAGACC